CCTGGCACCAGACATGCAAAGGCTGAAGAAGTCAGGTACTGCTGGTTTTGATCCAGTTACAGAGCTGGTCTGGATCCAGCTGGAGTTGGCCCCTTCTGGGCTGAGTTCCAGCAGACTGCATGAATTTCTGTGTCCTGGAGTCCAGGAAGGTGTCTGAACTGGGTGCAGCTGGATCCAAGCACTCCCCAGCTGGTGCCACCAAGCTGCTGGAGGATGGCACATGGGGCAGGCACCAAAGCACCTTTACAGCAGCTGCCTGGGCCAACAAGGCTGGCAAAGAACCATAGCCTATAAATCCACCTGGACTGAATCTGTTCCCATTTTGCACTGTCACCAGGCTGCCTTTGCAGTGGACTCCCCAGGTGCCCATGTTTTTTCATGATGCTACTGCAGAGACATCTAATGTCCTGCACAATGGAGAGCTACAGCAGCATTACCCTGCCATGGCCATTTCTCCTAAGAACCAGGGAGAGTCTGGAAAGATGCTGCAACACACTGGGAAATGCTGGTGCTAGAAACAGGTGTTATTTGGGGATGATACTAAGAGATTTTCTATTCTCACATCCTAATTCATCTTTACTACCTAGCAGAGAGAGCTGTGATCCAACTGTTCTGACCTGATAAATCAGGCTTGGATTTTGTGTTGGCCTCAGTCTCCTGGGTTAATTCTCAGCAAATATGAATAACGGTGTGACAGCTGAGATCTGTTTTTATCAGGCAATATCTGCAGTTCAAACTTGAAACCTTGAAGGCCCAAGCTAATTTTAATTTTGCTGAGGTACACAGCAAAACCAGTAGATCCAGCAAAGTAACAGTCCCATCGCAGATGAACCTTCCTGTTGGTGCCTGCTTGCATGCCCCTGGGGGGCCACACTGACTGCATGTAGGCTGAGCACACACACACACATAAGTACAGATGTACATATACTTGCATATACATTTATATACACGTTTACATGTGCTAATTTATATAAAGCTAGATTGATGCCTAGACTGCATCAGGGATACTTTTATTAACTGGAAACCAGATGCCCATACACACAAGGAACACTAAATCCTTAAAGAAACTGGAATGACCTCACTGCTGAGCTGGTTACTTCCCATTTCCCATCCCAGGTAATCAAATGCACCCTTATTTCTAACCCCAAAGGTGTATTCTTGAAGACTCAAAAATACCAAAAAAACAGTGGTGTTTTCTGCTGCCTCTTTTGCTGTTCTACATGACTAACAAAGGGCATATTCCCACACTAATACACTGGTCCATATGTGCAGGTCTGCTGTGTGGCCAGGAAGTGCAATTTATGCTATCTCATCTCCAAGTGAGACACCTACAGGTGTTTGACCTACACCCCAAAGCCTACTGATATTTTATCAGCTGGGCTGCTGCTTATCAGCTTATTTGCATGCCTTCAAGTGGATCACATAATTTAAGGGGGGAGGGGAAAGTGTTCCTCATGGGAGTGCTGCCTCTCATATTTTAAAAGATTTTCTGTTGACATAGGAAAAGACTAAATAAGATGCAGGAGTGCGTGCAGGGGTGTGTGTCCAGGCAGGTGTGTGTGCAACCATGCCAGCCACTGGCAGCACTGCAGGGATCTCACAGGACACGGTAACAAGGACACTACCAAGGCAACCAGATTTCCCAACATGAAGAAGCCATCAAAGCTGCTTATTTTCCAGTCTCAGACCCCTACTAGTGAAAATTGTTTCTTTTGAAAGCAACCAGGGAACACAAAGTGGCACAATCCTAAAAAAAACTAATCCTGTGCTGGCTTCTCACAATATGTGTTGTCATGTTAATATACAACCAGGCAACAGGGCAGGTTTCATCTGCATAAGGAAGAGAACTGCTGCTGCTATAGCACAATAAACATGTTCTATAAGGAAGTTAAACATATTTATTTTCTTGAAAAACTAGGTTAAAAGGTAGCTTTATATGCCTGTAAGCACTTGCTTGTAAAAAAAATCAGCAAAGCTGTAACAAAATCCAGCAGCTGAAATCTTGAACGAGGTGAAGAAGTGTACATTATTTAGTGGGAAATAATCAGCCATCAGAATAATATTGCTAACATCCTACTGAATTCAGTATCCCTGGAAATATTTTTTATCGAGATTTATTTATTTATTTTTTCCTAAAAGATTATGTCTAATTCAAGCAGGAACTAATTCTGGGAAGCCCAAGCCTCGTGCTGTGCAGGAGACCAGGCTCCACTGTTGCAAAGGCTCCAATTATCATTGTAACTTGTTCATTGTCACCTTTACTCTGAAATGTCTAAATCACCTACAACTTCAAAACACTTTGCCCCAAAGCAGAGCATCCTTGTGAGGCAGATAGGCAGATATGGCTATGGCAGAGTAACTCTGCTGATCAGTTTTTTCACCCAGCAAGGCTTGATTCAAAGCATTTGTCAAAACCATTGCCATGCTTTAGACAAGCTCTGCCTAGGGAGATTGACCAGCATAACTATCACAGAACTACCTGATTATTTGAGAATAAATCACTTTTATTTTGGAATACACTGTCAACACCAGGGAGTTATATTGGCAGAGCTGAGAGAGCTATTCTGGTCAATTCTCCCATGCAGACGTGCCATACATGTGTGATAAGGCTGGAGAATAATCCCTCAGGAGAAGCAACAAACATTTTATTGATTAGGATATTTCAAACTTGTGTAGGACAAAGCAAACTTCAATCTGCTGATTGAACAGACTAGATGGGATTGAGGGTTGGTTTTTTTCCATCTCTAATTTCTGTGTTTAGTTAAGAGAAGACATTTTGAACAACACTAGCAAGAGGCAGGGGGGAGTGGGGGAAAAGATCTATATCTGGCTCTGATTCTGCCAGAGGTGCTGTCACACTTGCAACACCAGTGGTAGGAGAGGTCACTTCCTTGAAACTCAAGACAAATGCTTGATGCTGAAGCCACAGGTATGTGTAACAGGCCATGGAGACCTCCAGCGCCAACCCAGTGCCTCCAACCCCAGCTGTTTGTTTTCTTTTTCTTACCTGACCAATGCCTTTTATGGGAGAAGCTCTTGGCCAGGCACTGGAAGGATGTGAAAGGGAAGGGACACAGGACAGGAAACCTGCAGTGAGTGAGTGCTTGCTGCACTTCTAGCAGCAGGGTCAAAGCATGGCTGAACTAGAGGGAACACTGGTGGGTCATTTCCAGCACCCTGATAGCAGCTTTTCCTGCCTCGATGCCAGGCCCTCTTGAGAGTCATGATCTTTGCTGCTACCACAGCAGGAGCTGCAGGCCTGCATCCACCAGCTCTCACCCCCCGTGTGTCCTCAGGTGAACACCACGAACCACTGCAGCACTCCTGGCTCACACCATGCATCACTGTGGGTCTCTTGGCTGCCTGTGCAGGCAGGCAGAGCTGACGGGAGATCAGTGAGGTGAGGAGGCAAAAATCACTTGAGGTTGCAAGGGCTCTACCAGGTTAGAAAGGTACCTGATAACGCATCACAAGGTGCAGGGGTCACAGCTGGTGCTCAGCACACACCCAGAGTTCTCCACGGGCACCTGGACAGTCCAGAGCAAGCATCCAGACACCAGCTTTCTCTGACCAGAGGGAACGCGATTCCCACCAGGGCCCAGGTGCTGTTTTGTTTACAAGTGAGGGAATATAAGGAAAGGCAACATCTTTTAATAAACTAACCAAAGCAGCTCTGGGGAAAAAACTCAAGTGGAATTTCAGAGATTTGAGAAGAGTACATTATGCTTGGAACATTTTCCAGCCATATCGACTGGTCTAATGAAAAACATCACTTCTCTACCCACAACCACTGCCACGCTTCTGTCCTTCACAATTGCCAGAGCATAGCTGCTACAAGGACGATTAACTCCAGTGGCCTTGCCTCCCAAATCCCCTTAATTGTGCTCTCTGCAAATTGCTGGGCCACAGGACACTGCAGGCAAGACATTTCACAGCAGTCTCAGCTGAAATAAGGAGTGTGGGATCTTACTGACCAATGTTTAACACTGAGCTCCCTGTTGTCTCCCTCACCACATGGAATGTGATATTAATTTTAATTTATTTTGTGTTGTTCAGCAGTTTGAATGCACAACATGCTAGTGTTTGGTATTGAAAAGGCTCCTTTGTTGCAAAGCAGAATTAAGAGAAGGTAGGACCTCCTGGTATTTGAGCACGGGCAGATGGGTCTTTTATACCTGGAATGACGATTTGGCACTGCGGGAGAACTGCTTTAGCATGAGAGAGTGTGTGTGCAGCTTATGCAGATACTCGGGCTGCCTTCAAAGCAGTTAGTTCCTGTATTGCTTGTGGTGCAGCAGGGCTGTGTGGAGCTCAGCACTGCCTGCACACCAGCACCGGGGCAGTTAGTGCCATTGGCAGCCACATTCTCCTAATTAGATCTCAAAGTTAATGCTGCAGGAAGAGGAATAAGGCAGCCCACACTTCCCCACACCGCCCTTGTGAGCTGCTTGCAGATGTCACCCTGTCTGTTTCATTCTGGTTGTGCCGGTAAAGGCTTTATTTGTCTCCACCAAAATGAGAACTTCACTTCTGTAAGTAAGGCTGAGCCAGCAGAGCACAGACCTCTACTTCGCGGCGGGCTGCGGGCAAGAGCTACACCAGAAAATCCTGGAAAACCCTGGAAGCAGAAGATGCGGATCCCGGCAGCAGCAGGAGGGGCCGCTGCCCGCGCCTCCCTCACGGCCCCGGGGCTCCATGGCAAACGCGGAGCCGCTCCCCTCGCCCGGCCGCTCTGCCCCAAGAACTCACAGCGGCTGCTACC